CTCCCCCCGGGCAAAAACTACACGCGTATGTAGTTCATATTCGTCAGGAAGAGCCTAAAAGTAGTTTAGCGATGACTACTTTGACTTTTAGGCCCTTCCTGACGGATATRAATTACATATGTAATAAGCCTTTTTCCAGTTCAATGCAGCGACCGCTGTTTTAGTAGACAACAGACTCACTTGCGTAGAGAACAGAAGAAAGCACGAAAAAATGCTGACATTGCAATAGGTCTAGAAATATGAATTTTCTCCGATTTGAGGCTTAGTTAGGCCCGCGCTATACGCCGAACTTCACATGTGCCGAATACAATTTACGAATTAAATTCATGTGAGATGCGACGTATAAATCAATTAAATTCGACAGTATTGGATTAAATACGACTTCAGTCGAATCTGCGACTTAAACAGCCGAAGATACGGCAATGGTGCGACAGTTGATTTATATGCCGTATCTCAAATGTTACAAATGTTCCAATACATACATTATTTTTCAATTCTTTTTGTGTGTGTGAATGGTGTTTTTTTTTTTTGTGGTTTGAACACATATGAATGAAAAAGAGAAGGGAAATAATGAACATAAAATGGAAGTATGTATGGGAATGGAAAGGAGAGAAGGTGAATAGAGGGATGAAAAGATGGGGAAAGGAAGTGAAGAAATGAAAGAAAATGAAAAAAACAAAGACTAAATAACTGTAGAAGTAAAAGGGAGGTTATAAATAAAAAATGGATAGATGAATGAATAAAAACTAAATATGCAAATAACTAAGTAAAAAGATAAACKAGGAGCATTAACTGAATAAATAAAGACAAAGAAACAAATAAGTACATAGATAAATAAAAATAGATAAATGGATGTAAGCGAAAATGTGTGAGGAAACTGAAAGAAGAAGGGGAGGGAAATGATAGTGATGAAATAGAAGGTGGTATGTATATGGGCAGGGGAAAGGGAAATGATTGTTGATCACTGGATGTTGYAAGGTAGTGTGTGGAGGTGATAGTAAGAGGTGAGTGGAATAAATGAGTTGTAAAGAGATGGAGAATAATGAACAGAGACAACTAGCCACAAAAATGATGATACATATAAACTTTTAAAATGGTACTTACCTATACTTTCACAATGCCTTCCTGTGGCCCATTTTGCGCAAACACAACGATAGTCATAGATGTTGTCATAGTAAATGCACTGACCACCATTACGACAASGATTCCCTTGACGGCACTCAAAAAACTGAAGAAAACAAAAACATATATAGAGTAAAACTGAAGTTCGACTGAAATCTAGATGTCAGAATGTAATGCGATTTCCACAAGGTCTGAAAMGTTTGTGTAATGTTGCACGCCAAAAATGTTATGCTGACGTGGTAAGGTACGGAATCACGATACTGATAAGTGACATCCCTTACCGAGCATCGGGCTAGAACTAAATATCAGAGCATCTACAGAGAAAGCGAGGCTAGAACGAGGACTATCGTGTTTACACGGTGCCAGTGAAGTTTAGGGGCACCTCAGCACAGTTCCCTCTGCCCACATATGAGGGCAACTCAGGAAGTCTCTTATAACTTGTGAAAGCGCGCCTAGTGAGATTTTAACCAGCTACTGATTGCACGTGCTCCGGGAAACGATTTTAATTCGTGAGTCGATCGTGAGCAAAAAGCAAGTTATATTAGGCCCTCTACAAGCTTTGTCGACACAAAGAGACACGAATGCAATTATCAAATCTAAGTTTTTCTACTAAATTGCCCACTGCGGAGGCGTTCCTCAGGCTMCTGYGGCTCAGGCTCCTCAAGCTCCTAAGGCAGCWTTGTTTGAGAGAATATGTGCATTGATTGAGTGAGTTAATTATACGATTGGGTAACGTTAATCATATTTTATTTATTTTGTGAACAGCATCTATGACAAGTAAATATTGTAACACCTGTTTGCAAGAAATTTACATGATTATTTATGAATGGCAAATCATTTTCACTTTTTATGTATTTTCATCGAGTAATACACAATACGATGAGCCGCTGAAGGTGTGCGTAGGGYTCTCACTTWCAAGGCGACTGCGACTGCAAAAGTATTATTTTCGGCTCATATTGTGAAAAATAAACTTGGATTATCAGTTGAARTTACCATGAAAGAGCTGGAGTCACGGAAAAGCCATAAAAAAAGGTTTTACAGTTAAACTTAAAAGAATAATTAAAGTTTAACGACAAAAATCAAAACCGACACAATTGCAAAATGATTATTCGGCCATTTTTAGTGGATTTTGTAAGACTATAYATACAGTATATAACAGTCTAACACACGGTCATTGCTATAACCTTACCTTTTTGCTGTAATGACAGAAAGCATTATCTTGCTTTGTGGTTGTACCGTTTGTGAACCGATCAGAAGAGAGAAGCTCACACACRTGAAGACCGTTTTCAAGTGGTTTGATCTTAAAATTAACCGAACGACACCACTCTGTACTGGTGCAAGAGAACACGCACTCCATTGCGTCGTCTACTTGGGTTGACTTCTGTTCCATTCCTTGTGGCAGCTGTAGAAGTTTGTTAGGATGCATTTCGAAAGTACGAGCTTTAGATCGAATTGAGGAACAAGTTATTTCTTGAGATTTCAATACGAAAATAAGAAGAGATATCCATGCTTTGAAATTCATCTTTGAACTAACAGTAATCCGCTGTGTTACTCAACTTCASGCAAGTTAAGCTTTACTCTGAGTTTGACGTCAGTTTGCAAACTTTGAAAACTTCTATTCAATTCATAGCATATATCCAACTGAGAATGCATCAATTAAAAAAACACTAGAATGATGAAATATAGAAAAACAAACGATGTCGTAAATTAGTTAGTTAGTCTAGGTCTAGTCAGGAACATCGAGGACTTGAAATGATCGATTTTTTGGCTCATTTTGGTAACACAAGTATCAGATCTTTCTATTATTTGCCAGAACTCTCGATTCATTCAGAAGACAGCTGCTTTGCAATGAATTATTGATGTCCASTACTCTTAACGAAGTCAAAATATTTGTATTCGTTCTCGTAAAGATCTCTGTCACGTCTTAATTTTCACAATACCAGAACACAAACAAAAATTCTGGGGTCTTGCGGTGCACTGTCTTTTCACTTTTTTCGTCTTAATTTTCACAATACCAGAACACAAACAAAAATTCTGGAGTCTTGCGGTGCACTGTCTTTTCACTTTTTTCGTTCTTTCTATTTTTTATATTACATCATGCATGATTAAAGCACTATTTGTTTTGGTATCAGAAACATTCTTTACTTTTCCAAGTAAAGCTTATAATTTCATCCTTTGTGAAATTTGTGTTTCATAAACATCACTGAATGATAATAATAAACTTGTTAAGGATTTAACCTTACCATAAAAAATATATACAGGCTGATTTTGATAGAAACGAATTAAAAGTAGTGGGTAACATTAATGCTCGCACGATAAATGAAAACGAGTCTATATATACCGTAATCATTTGGATAAATACTGAGAGTGACGCTAAGATATATCGTTATGTAATGTTTTAAGGCCAACAATGAGTACTTGATGTAATTTCGAAGTTTTTGCAATTAGTTGAAGCGGTTCAGTCGAAGCTAGTAGTTAGGATCAAATTCAATTTTATTGCATGGACACGAGTTTGGCAAATTTTTTATTGAACAAGAGCTAGCAACCGGATTTACAAATGTCGAGAAATATGTAAGCTAAAAGGGAAGCTAAAAGGGAAGCAATAAACGCTCAGTGCCTTTAAGGCRTGGCTCACAGAAAAATATGAAATACTACATAAATTTATTGTATAAAATCGCCATTTGAATAAAATATGTTCATACTTGGCCAACATCAGTATTTTGACAAAMGAAGTTRTTTTAGCAGTTTTTGTTGCCATAGAAACCAAATCACGTGACCTCAGGTCGCCATCAGATTTTTACTTTGAGCTTCATGGAGACCATCACGGGCAGTATCAAATCACATAAAAATGCACGTTCAAACAGGTATTTGCGTACTTTATATTGATCTAATTGGAAAACAAGGAATAGTCTTAAAGACATATTGAAATTTTATAAAGAATTTTCAAAAAATGACAAAAAAAATATAGGAAAATTTATTCCAAGTCGTAACCCAAATATCCAATTAGATCTATATAGAATACTCTTAGGAGTATTCAAATATGCATTTTTATACCATTTTATACGGTTTGTGATTGTCTCCAAGAGCTTCAAAGAAGAAATCCAAGATGGCGGCTCTGAGGTCACGTAGTTTGGTTTCTATGGCAACAATAACTGCTAAAAAAATTCCATTTACCAAAATACGGATACTGGCGGAGTATTATAAGATTCTATTCAAATACCGATTTTCTACAATAAATCGATGCAATATTTCATATTTTTTCCAAAAGCCATGCCTTAATGGCCCTGAACGCCCCTTTGAAGATGAGAGTGAAAATTGCGCTTCGAGCTAGCACACGTGAAGAGGTTGGTGCGAACTGAAATGACAGGAAAACTGATACTTCGCTCTCAAGCACCGATTGTAGCTAATGACCTACGTCATAAACTAGCACTGACCTACGTCATAAACTAACACTGACCTACGTCATAAACTAGCACTGTACTACGTCATAAACTACCTTAGCAAAGTGCGAATCATCAAATTGTAATTGCACATCATTACGAACTAATCATGTCACGTGATCATGTAACCATATTCGTTGGAGGACTTGTCGGATCTTCTCAGTTGAGTCAAAAATAAGTTTCTCGAGTTTCTTCCTTTGGAAATTTCTGCATATGCAAGATTATACTGATTATACTTTTACTCCGACGAAGGATTAACGTCCGAAACGTCAGTAAGTTATTTCACATACTTTTTTACGGTGTTAAATTTATCTTTTTACATAACTGTTTCTCAGAAACAGGCTTTAGAAACACCGACGCAGCTCACACTAGTTTACTGCTAGTTCCCACCATTAAACTGATACATCAATTGATAACAATTTTAAATAATCTATTGAACTTGTGSAAAACTGATCAATTTTTTTTATAAAAAACTTGACGTCAGGCTGTCTCCAAAATGTGATTGGTAGTATGGTAGGTACAATGGTGCATTAGTACAATCAATAACTGATATAATGCAAGCATGCATGCGTGCCACACCTATATACGATTATTGTGTGGCAGTCCCATCGATCAACAACTTTGCCATTGAGTCATTTACAGCCATACAGCTCCATTCTTAACTGTTGGTAGCTGTACCACGTTTTGATTATAATTCTGAAGTACCTGGCGTTAATGAAAGGACTAAAGTTATTTCTAACAGCAACATAATTGTTAGTGTTACCAGTAAATACTTTTCCTCCCTCGTAGTTTGTGAAAGTGCTTCCATCATTGCCGTATGTCACGGAATAGGTCTTGATGTGATTGGCATTATCTGATCGACCTTGGGTTGCAATACCCGTTATGACTGTAACTTTGAGCAAATCGACTTGTACCCAGTTGTYGACATTGCTGCTAGTCGGTGCCCATCCTGGCWTTGCGAGATTCAACCTTGCTGTGTAGGGATAGTACTGTAAATAGTAGTTTATCGCAGTGATCTGGGCGTCAGCGATTGCTTTACTCTGCATGCCAAGAGCGACAGGATTGCTGCAGCTTGAAGCTATGGAGACAATCCATACCAACTAATGAGTAAAACCTGTCGACCGTTTTTTACTTCTTGGATTTGTATAAACAKTATTTTATAGATAGATATAGATATAGATTTGTTTATTAGCTCATTTTGCAGGTCATCTGAATTACAGACGAGTCAGCATTAGAAATTTAAGTGATCAGCAAATCTACAAGTTACAATTTTACGACAAAAACAACTCAGTTGACGTGGGTATAGCTAATTTGACGTAAACAGCAAAGTGAATAAATTGCAAATGGAAACAAACATTTTATTTTAATTTTTCACATTAATATCATTCTTGTACTCTGCCTCAGTCGTTGAACATATCATTTGTGAGTCCATCATAATTATGTCTTAGCCAATCACATTTTGATATAAGCTGATATTACTGTCATTTTGTATTTGTAAAAGATGCACTATAAAAGGAAGATTGATATTGTATAGCCTAGAGTTGTAAGTTGCAGGTGAAGTATATAAAAGCTTTTTGGAATTATTCTTAATAAACTTCCAATACCTTGAGTACATGCCACAAGTTACAAGCGACTCGTTGTTGAATTGTTTTTTAACAGTTAAAMTTTATCTGTTTGTATCCGTTCAGATTCRCTTTCAATTTCATCGTTGTGGCTACCCGTAATTAGACGGTAATTACCAACGAATACTGAATAATCAAAGACGAATTCGTACCTGGGCATGTTGCAGTATTGCATTGAGCACTTTCCAGCGAGGATCCAGAGCAGCTATTTCCACCGTGGGCAGGTGCAGGGTTGGTACATGTACGNGTTCTTGTCTGTGACCCACCGCCACAAGTCTTGCTGCAAGCTGACCAGGCAGAGAAACTGCTCCATCCACCGTGAACTGAGAATTGGTAAATACAGTAGTCAGACAGTGAGTTAATACCAGAAATCAACAGAAAAGATTGCCAGAAATTGAGGGGGAAAGAGAGAACAAATCCTATTTTCAAATAGTACTTACCGATTTCACATTGCTTCCCGGCGGTCCCTTGTGTGCAAATACATCGATAGTCATGGATATCTTCATAGTAGATGCATTGACCGTCGTTACGACAAGGTTTCTCGTGACGGCATTTGTCCTGGAATAAATGCCAAAAGCGAAATAAATTCAGAGCCTTCAGCAGCAACTAGCAACACATGCAGGATAGTATTTCGATTGCAAGTCCAATGAGGAACATACAATCATTATAAACTGAGAGTTTATAAAAAATTACACACAACAAGGTTAAAATTTCAAAAATGGCAGCATCTGTCAGATCTTTATGTCAGTGTTTATACTATCTGTACATCGAGTTTTGGGCGAGCGATATGACATATCGCTCGCCCGAAACGCATGATTTTGGCCTGCTCGATGGCACAGTTTCAAAGGCAATTTATACATGCTGAAGGTAGTGCAATGATGCACTCGGTCCCTTGACCATCTAGTAAGAATTGCTTATCATAAGTAACCTCGATGTTTTCTTAAGGTGTTTCGATCGTAATAAATAGCGCTTCGCGTGTATTTTTAAACTCCAACTACTGTCGCAAATTTCGATTCAATTGCACTCAAACTTTCACAGAAGTCACATTGATTATCGATAATTCTTGTTGATAAGTTAATTTGCCAAAAAGCGAAGCCATTTGGATAAACGATACAAAATAAAAACACCTTCATTTTTCTTCAAAATTAATTTTCTCGAAACTCATCGCAGAGATTGTAATAAAATTTTCAGAATCTTTTCTTAATAAAATAATTGACATACTGACGAAGTTTCAATAAAATCTTAACCTAAAATTTCGAGTTGTTCGAATGTACATCATTTTGCTCAAACAACTCGAAATTTTAGGTTAAGATTTTATTGAAACTTCGTCAGTATATCAATTATGTTATTAAGAATTGATTCTGAAAATTTTATTACAATCTCTGCGATGAGTTTCGAGAAAATTAACTTTGAAGAAAAATGAAGGTGTTTTTATTTTGCATCGTTTATCCAAATGGCTTCGTTTTTTGGCAAATTAATTTATCAACAAGAATTATCGATAATCAATGTGACTTTTGTGAAAATTTGAGTGCAATGGAATTGAAATTTGCGACGTAGTTGGAGTTTAAAAATACGCGCGAAGCGCTATTTATTACGATCGAAACACCTTAAGCCGTCTACAAAAGTGTATATCTTATGGATTTCGAGAAGCACACTGTTGTTTTCAAGACGTTTTTAGATAACTCCTTTTCTGGAGTAGATTTAACCTGGTGGTGGGAGTAATTTTTACTGCTCTTCTAAAATTTTAAACCTTTGGAAAAATTACTCGATTTATACAGTACATTTGAACCCTCCACCAAGAAGAGTAACTTATCTCCACTGCCGTGCTAATTTCAACTGCTTGAAAATAAAATGTTATGAATATAATTAGGTCACTTTTCAAAATAAAGCGTAATTAAAATGAAAATTACACGGAAGAGGCAATTATAAATATAATTTGCATTTAAAAAAGCACACACCAAAGAGAACGATACTTGATGATTACAAAGAGGRAAAAAAACAATAATCTAATTGCAATATACAATTAAAGGATCATTCTTTTTATAAACGAGATGATTTGAAAAATTGTTTTAAAGGTTTGTCAATGCTTTATATAGCTGGTAGGAACTTACCTTTTTACTATAATGACGGAACCAAATATCTTGCTTTATGGTTGTACCGTTTGTGAACCGATCAGAAGAGAGAAGCTCACACACATGAGGACCGTTTTCAAGAGGTTTGATCTTAAAATTAACCGAACGACACCAATCTGTACTGGTGCAAGAAAATACACACTCCATGGCGTCCTCCACTTTCATTGACTTCTGTTCCATTCCTTGGAGAAGCTGTAGAAGTTCATCGGGGTACATTTCGAAGGTAGGACTTTGCTCTCGAATGGCGGAAAAGATGTTTTGAACTTTCAATGCGAAAACAAGAACAGCTATCCAAATTTTTAAAGTCATATTGAACATGGAAAATGCATGGAGATCTTGCAGTACAAAAGTTTAAACCTTTCGATAATTACTATATTGACACCTTAGTGGATATTAATTGACCCCAACTGAGAATGAATCAATTCAAGCACCAAAAATGACGTAAATAAAACAAACAAACAAATAAAAATTCATCGCTTCATAAATAGCACTTTTTGAATTCTGCAGTACATTTTTAAAGAAAATTCTAAACCCTTTGCAACGCATTTAAAGAGCAAGTCCATTTCACCGAGTGACTAATTTGGATCAKTACACCTGCCAACTTACCTAAAAAAAATTAAAAAATTAGAAACCTACTCAAATGTCCATCTCAACCAATATTGAGTCACGTAAATTGTCTATGAATTATTGATTTAAGATACTATAAACAAAATTTTCAYCTTTTAGATTAAATTTTTAAATCCTAGAATCTTATTTTTCGATTACGCTTGAGAACATTTTTTTGGAAATCTTTGAAATTCTTTTGGCCGCATTTAATGACAATATGGGTGTTCTTTTTGTGGTAATAAGAAATATTGTTGACTCAGATGTTTTCTTTTAACTTGACATTCATATTATCTGTAAAACTATAGTGAACAGGCTAGTTAATGATATTTTTCACATGAATAATAAATGAGCTTGTAGGTTTCTCGGTAATTATACGAAAGAATAAAATTGTTTTACAAAATTTAAGCAATATTTTTTAATAGAAGTACAAATACTGACATTGTAAGCTTTTTATAATCTGGGATGCAAGGTGACCTTTTTTCCACTGTGAATACAAAGCTTATTGAATATTTGGACAAATTATTTACATGCGGCTTACGAATAAATTCGCAAAACGTTACGGCCAATGTCGACCGTTCAATATTGCCTAACATTGCTTATAAAATGTGTTGTGCAATTTTCGGGATAGTCTGTCAATGTCGCCGAATACTGTACAATGATGTAGAAACAAAAACAAAGAGTACCATAGATATACTTCGTTTGTCAGTAAAATATTAACATTTTCAAAACGTTGTCTTTTATTTAGTAAAAAAGAAAATGAAAGTAGTAAAAACAAACAGCGCCATTTATTTGGTCAGATTAAAGAAGAAAAAAGGCCTTCCATTTTTCTTTGAGTTAAACAAACAACAATATTTGTCCAAGAAGCAAAGAAATATAATTCAATTGAGACAAGTAGATTTTAGGTTTATTTATAACCGACGTTTTTGAAACAGTGTGATGAATATCGACTCAATTCAWTCATCTCAYACCATGCCTTCTTGTCAGTATATGYMGCCTGCCSAGAGCCTCCCAGACGAGGAATTATTGATAGGTATCAGGGATACGGATGGAGAGGAACCTGGCCACGTGTCCAAACCAAGACAGTCGGACCAGTCCTTGTAAAGATCTCCATCGTTTAGAATGCTGTCCCAAAGATTACAGTTGTTTTGTTGGTGGTTTGACATTCTAACTACCTCTATTTGGAATATTTTGAGAAAACACTAAGAATTTCTTGGCTTGTTATTTCTACTCGCAAMATCTTTCGTGCTCCAAAATTATTTTTTTACACTTTCGAAATGCGCCTTGAACATCTGAGTCTCTACCTATTATCAAAATGAGAAAGCATTTTCTTCAAATTTGTTTTTGTTATTTTCTGCAAATGAAAAACGATTCTTCTCGACAGTCTCTCATGCTCCATTCTTCAGGGAAGTTTTCCACTAGTATCGCTGCACTGCAGTCTCTCGTCTCTGTGTTCAATTGTTTCAYGTTCTTATAAGTCAGGGGTGATTCGTCGGCCCACTGAAGTACCCCTTCGTTTGCTTTATCGTTGAGTCCAATCCAGGCTCTTCGCTCTGCATCTAAAACAATGACAAATGATCTCCGTCATGGCGAGTATATAAGGAATTAACAAACAAAGCTTTCTTACCTGCAAGAGCTTTCATTTCGGAATCTTCCAAAACCCTGGGAATCATTAATAAGTCTTTCATCCAGCCTTTGAAGAATGCGGAACTCGAATAGCTGACTTTTCCAATCCAATAATTGGTGGGAGCATATAGATTCATGTTCCTGGCTGGGGAGCTACCGACATGGTTTTTGTCAAGTGTACCATTAAGGTAAATCTTTACCCTATGTGCATCAATATCAAAGGTAACGCCGATGTGAAACCACTGATTGATGGGAACTTTCCTAAAAAAAATATATTGCTTGTATTGATAACAGTTATTTTGTATTTTTGAATGTAGGAGTATTGAACAGCCGTTGGAGCGGTCAATAAAAGGATAGAACATAGAAGCTGAGACCGGAATGATGCGRAGAAACTGAATATTGTAATATAAGACAGAAATAAAGGAAATTATAGTGCTAAAAAGAGTTTATTTCGTACGAAAGATCTTTAGGAAAAAAAAATCAAAAAGATCGAATCAATTTCCAATAACATGTTCGAACTCGAGCTCTTTATTTTTCAATATAGTAGGGCAAGATCTCTTCCGGTATACAGAAATGGAGCATAATCTTGAGGACAAAATTATGTGGGATTTCAGTTACCAAAGAGGCGCCTAATTATACCCGACAATATAACACAAGTTTACCACTGGCGACTAAATACGTTTCATTTCAACAAAGCCAAGAAAGCAGAGCTTAGCCTGGATAAATTAATTAATTGGGACACCTAAGAAGTGATCCAGAAAGCGGAGACGAGGATGCCGTAGGAATTGTCTCTGGACTTATGTTTTTGATAGAATATAGATACCATGTCTTCAACATTGAAGCCTAAATTACATTGAAAGTTTGGAAAAGCAGATATTTTAAAGCATTGAAAAACAAATTGACTTGACACATTTGCACTAACATAAGGTAAAGTGCGGCCCCCATTTCAACCAATGATGGCTTGCGTTATAATCTTGCTACAAATTAAAACCGCCGACCGGTTAGCTCAGTAGGTAGAGCATCGGACTTTAGTGCGGGAGGTCGCAGGTTCAAACCCCGGCCGGACCAACACTCAGGGTCTTAAAATAATTGAGGAGAAGTTGCTGCCTTTGTCTTTCTCCATCTGCAAATGGTAAGATCTTCTCGTCCTCTCGGGGATAACGACGTAAAATCGGAGGTCCCGTCTCTCTACACTTYACTCACTAACCTGCATTAGAGGGACGTTAACGAACCCACACCACTGTTCGCATAAGAGTAGGGAATGATTCCCGGTGTGTTTGGCTAGGCCTTACTACTAACCCATACTAATTACTAACCCCTCATGATTGTAAGCCGCGTGGCTGCCAATTGCGCCTTAAACAGCGGTCCGTGTGAAATGATCTATACATGTGAAGCGCCTTTGAACTCAGAGGATATCGGCGCTATATAAATACCACATATTATTATTATTATTAAAAAAAGGGGTATTAATTGTATACTTACCCATTAGATGCAGCGAGAATTCGGTGCGAGCCGTCTCCAAAAAACATAACCACTTCTAGTTTGTTAGTGTTGTCTATTCTAAAGTTGAAGGATCGAGCGCTCGCGTGGCCATTGTCATCACTAATAATAATGTGACCCTTGGAGACAGCTAACTTAACCCAGACACCAAATGAATAACTTTTATCGTAAAATACAAATCTAGGAACAAGGACGATATCATCGACTCCATCCAAGTACAAAGCGCTTCCTTGGTCGGTATTCTCGTACTTGGCTCCATTTTGAGGACTGAAAAAAATGAAAATCATGAAGTCATTCCGGTAACTTACTGTCAAAAGGTACTCGCAACTTCAATTGTCAACGCACTCTTGTACCATGAAACATAATCAAAGAAGAAATAAGGATTAGTTTTTATTTACTGACTTATAGTCTCCTTCACGGTTAACAGCGCCATCTTGAAAGGTAGCCGTGCCTTTAMATCGAWGCGAGACAACCGTTGAGYGTGCAATGATAGATACCTGTGAATAATTGTCTGTAGGTGTGAAAGATTTCTATCATTGCTCGCTCAACGGTCGTCTCGCTTCGATGTAAATGCACAGGTACCTTTCAAGATGGCGCTTCACATTCCCCTTTGCTATGTGCAAGGGTTGTAGTCGAGCCTTTGCATCGAAGCGAGACAACTGGTGTCTTCCAGGTGTGAATGTTCAGTCACATTGAACGCGCAGCATCGTCTTGTGTCGAATCAAGGGCATGGTTACCTTTAAAGCTACAATCGTGGACAAAACTGCCATCACCAAAGACCCAAAAGTGTATATTGAAAGTACTCTCTTCTTTCATTTCCTTAACCTCCCCCCCTCCCGCCCATTCAGTGTTGCCTTCAGTTGAAAAACACTATTGAAGCTACAGAAATAGAATACTTGCCTTCTCTCTTAACTGAAGTAAGTTATTTAAGTAAAACTCACCTCAAACCGCTATCTTTGCCATTCAATGCCAACYTCACAAGATAGGACTCTTTGGGGCCAAACTCAACTGAAAAATAATAWTATTATATATATTGATTTGAAGGGTGCTCTGAAAATCAACTATCGCTATAAGTAGGTTTCTTTTGGGCAACTATCTGCAACTACCGATGCAAATTATAACTGGGGTTGACAAGAACTACCTTTAAAATGTGTTTCATTGTGGCTAGGGCGCTATTACACTTTACAATTTCTCAGCAACTTGCTCTTGCTTGGCGACTAACAAACGAGCCGAAAAAATGAGAAATCACATACTTTTCTGCGATGACTTTAGGAGAGTTTGCAAAACAGTTTTGCTTTCTAATTCGTTGTGAAATGATGCGAGGTCGGCGCCAAAGGTTTTGCAATGAAGTCGTCCATCTTCCCATGTTTTSTTTTTGGTCACAAGGACAAACAYAGATGAATTGAACGTGAATACATTATCAGACGAGGCTGAAATTAACAGTAGATCACAACATGAATAGATCGACAAATTATAATTAAACTGCTGCCACGATACGTTTATTTTAGGAGTGTGTCTAACTTGTTTAGAGATAGTACACTCACCAAATATTTCACAGTGTTTCCCTGTGGTACCATCTCCACAAACACATCGATAGTCATGGATATCTTCATAGTAGATGCAGTGACCRTCGTTTCGACATGGTTTCTCTTGAAGGCATTTGTTCTGGACAAAAACAAGTTGAGGAATATAGAAATTTTCATTTAAGTCCGTAGTATTGTAAACATATGTGCTTGAAAGTTTTAGGTCATACATATTATCTTTCAGAATACTCCAGTTTCGAATTCATAGCGAATAACCGCTGCTTTATTTGACAAAAGATTCTCTTGCGCAAAGACTTTACAAACACAAAAGAGAGCACGAGAAAATGTCGTTATTACAATAGAATTGAAAATTTGCATTTTCCCCGAGTTGAGATTATCCCTGTATTCCCATAAGACCTAAGGTATGAGCAGGGTTAGCCTCAACTCGGGGAAAATGTAGATTCTTAGCGCTCTATTGTATTAACAACATTTTCTCGTGCTTTCTTTTGTCTTTGGTAAGTTCTTTGCGTAATAGAATCTGCTGTCAAGTAAAACAGCGGTTATTCGCTTTGAATTCGAAACTGGAGTATT